CAGGAGGCAGCAAATACAAATATCCATCTAGGAAATGAGAAGCTGTAACACTGACTGAGCTGGGTTGGGAACTCTGGGTGATATTCCAGGGCCCTTCATTCACCAGAACTTCCTCATGCTCTCTGCTGTCTCACACAGCCCTAAGCTTGGGAGGGCAAATCCCGGGGCCTGGGCCTCTTCTTTCTCTCTCTTGGAGCACAGTTGAGCGCACCCTCTTGTAGTGAATTAAAATTTTTAATTTCCTTTCCTGCCTGAATAGAAATGCGACTCCCATCAGGGTAGTTAGTGTATAGTGCAGCGGGTAGGAGCTCAGGCCCTCATCCGGGGCCTCAGTTCAAGTTCTGACTCTACCCCTCATTAGCTGGGCCATCATGGGCAAGTTATTGATTCTCTGTGAGCTTCAGTTTCTTCCTGTGAAAAATAAGGATGGTGAGCCCCTCCCTTGTGAGGTTGCTGTGGGGAATGGGTGCTATAATTCTTGTAAAGTGCTTGCTTGGAGCCGGGTGCTCTGTAAGGGCTTGATGTTAGCAATTGATAACATGATACGCAAACAGAAAGAAGTGTTCAGGTGTCTTCAGCCCAGTGACCAGGAGCCCTTAGAGGAGCATTCTGGGACGAGTGAGCACCAGTACTTCAGTAACTCATCTCTGAATACTGACTGGGCTGATCAGCCTGTTCCTGGAGGCCCAGAGGACTGCGGGAATTGGGCCTGGTTCCTCTGACTCTCCCAGGGGCTGGCCCATGGAGGATGGCGGGAAACAGGATCCCAGGACAACTGGCTAGGTTTCTGAGAGCCCAAGACTAGGATGGCTCCTGGGGTTGGGTGGGAGAAGGTAGGGTGGGGTTGGTCAGCAGGACTGTCAGTCATAACTCACATGCCACCCAGTGAAGCTGGAGGAAGAAAAATCCAGTTGAGCCTGAAATGATATTTTTAGAAATGACCCTGTTTGAGAAACTTTCACAGAGAATCTCTATTAATGTAGAAAGGGGGTCCTCCAGAGAAGTACTAGGACATTTCACTTTAATAATAACAAGAATAATAATACTATCAAAAATAACAATTTGGGGGCTGGGGTTGTAGCTCAGTGGTTGAACACTTGCCTCGCATTGTGGGACACTGGGTTCAATCTGCAGCACCACATAAATAAATAAATAAATAAATAAATAAATAAATAAATAAATAAAACAAAGATATTGTGTCCATCTACAACTAAAAATAATTTTTTAAAATAACAATTTATTAGTGCTTTCTACATGCCAGCACTACCACTAAAACCTGTCATTTCAATTCATTCTTTAAACAACAGTGAGGTGATTGCTATTTGCTTTTGTGGAAAAGGAAAAGAGAGGCTCAGAGATATTAATGAGGCAACTCAGAGCTGGGGCAATCTCAAACTCTTGCATTCGAAGACAATAACCAAAGTTCCTGTGGATGCCAGGGTCCAGTGATTGGTTCAGAAAACAGGGAGGGCTAGTGGTGTCAAAATACTCCAACCTCATTTCCCAAACTGGCCCCCTTGGTGATTCAGTCCCCTGGGCTTCGGTCTCTGGGATGGGGAGGGGGGTGGGCAGCAGGCTCAGCCACGACACTGAAGGGCAACACAGAGCTAGCGCTAGGGCCTGGTCCTTCTGGGTGATACCCTCTCCAGAACAGATCTTCCCCTGGACAACCCTGGCAACTGGGCTCCAGGAGATCTGCGGCCTGACTGGGGCATAAATCCAGGGGAGGCCACTTGATTCTTTTTCCTCAGTGATGCAGTGCTCCCGGGGTTGTGCTTAGTGGCTGATCTTGTTTTCCTTTGGTGCCCACAGTGCCTGGGGCCAGTTTATGGCCTCTCTAAATCTGTAGCTACCTTTTCAGGGCTCTCTGTGTCAGGACCAGATAGAAAAAATCTGCTTGACTGCTTCTTGCCCCACACCAAGAGATCCTGTAAGGATTTTTTTTTTCAAGGTTAGAAACCAGCCCCTGTTGCCCATGGTGGTTGGCATGGAGCATCCCAGTGCAGAGGGCAGAGGGTGGGCACTGGCTGGGTTTGAATTACTTGTTATTGGATTCCAGCTATGTGACCTTGGGCAAATAACCTGACAGCTTCAAGCCTCGGTCACATCAGGGAAAGGGGATAATGAGGACCCTTCCTCACAGGGTTTTTTTTTTTTTTTTTTTTTTTTTTTTGCAGGCAAAGAGACTCATTGGTGAGGTGTGTGCACTTAGCACAGGGGCCTGGCCCAGCTTTGCCTGACCACCCTGTTGAAGGCAGGATTCCCATTTATTCTTGCTCACTGCACTGTTATTTCTTCAGCCCAGTTTGTAATTACAGTATACTGTGTTTGTTTACTAGTCCAGGGACCATGTCTGTTTTCCACTGCCTGATCATTGGTATCAAGAGCAGAACAGTCAATGTTGAGTGAGTGAATGACAGACAGCCCCTCCCCAGTCTCCTTCAGGCAGAGCAGCCTTTATTTTCCTAGAAGACATGGCCTACAGAGCCCCGTCTCCTCTACTCCCTCCAGAGCCACTGCAGCCTGGAAGGGCTGGATGCTCTGTCTGTGCCAGCCATAGAGCAGCCTGAGAGAACAACTGGCTGGGGCCAAGGCAGGGCCTTACTTACACTCACCTGAATAGCCATGGTCCATGAGGGATGATGGGGTCATTCTAAGGGCTACTTCTGCCCTCCACTGTCCATAGCTCCCTGGCCAGCGCCTCCACAGCCATACCACTCCACCAGAGCCCTGCATGGCTTCCTCTCACCTGGAGCTGGGCCTGGCTTTCAGAAGAGGTTTCCTTTCCACCTTCTACTTTCTTCCAGTTCTACCTCCTTCTAGGTCTCCCCTGCCTCCTGCCCTCATCTAAAACCAGGGCCCCCAGGACTTGGCAGATGTGTGGGGCTGGGGGAGGCACTGCAAGTCCAGATGTGACTGTGTTTATGTTTGCAGAGAGTGAGGGTCGGAGTTCTGGACTGGAGCTGTTGGGGGAGGGTCAGGCTGCAGCCCCCTGCCTCAGCCTTCCCTCCCCCACCTTCCTCCTCCAGCCTGTGTCTCTGGCCCTGTCTGTCCATCACAGAACCCATACTCTAAGTCCCTCAGCATCAGGTTGGGCCATCCTCCAGGAAGATCCTCTCTCCATCGCTCATCTGAAGGTGAGAAGAGCAGTGGAAAGACATCTGGTTTTGGACTCTCAAGGCCTGTTGGCTCCGTGTGACCTTGGCTGGGTTATAAAGCCTCATGGAACCCCAGTTCCATGTGTAAGAGGGATAACACTCTTGACCTCAGGTCAGTGTTGACCTGGTTTGAGAATGTGTGCATAGGGCTCTCTTGCTCTTAGCTCATGACTAAGCCTGTGGTGTGCCCCATCCCAGCTAGGGCTTGCCTCAGTCCAGCTCTGGGGCAGTGCCAATCCCCATCGCAAGGTGATTCTGAAGCAGACTATCAACCCCTCCTTCTTCCCCCACTGCAGCTGCAAACATTTTGTTTTGCCATTAGAAGTGACTTACTTAAGGGAAGCAGAATTTTACAGGCAGTTTACAGGCTGGACTTGTTCAGTAGTTTCCACAAGCCAGAGGAGGGTTGAGGCAGGCAGCAGCCCCCCTAAGTTGGGATGGAAGGGAAGTGAGAAGTGAGTCCTGAGTGCCCAACCCTTTCCTGCTCAACTGAGCACCCCTGGGTGGGATCTAGGTGTATTAGGGAGCTAGGGGGAAAGGGAGAGGAGGCCCTGGCTAGACTCTGGCCAATCCAGTCTCCTCAGCCTCCCTGAACACCTAGGGTCCAGCTCCAAGTATGAGAAGCCAGGAATGGCCCAAAGGAGAAAAGGCAACCCTAGCCCTAAAGAGGCTCTCCGAGACCCCTACCAGGACGTGGTGGGTAGGCAAGGGCCCCATAACACTCTAGGGGCCTGGAGGGCAACCAAAGACATTTTGAGAAGAGCTTGCCCAATTTCGCGCCCAGGGAGGGAGGGGCTGCCTGGCTGCGCTGTGCCTAGAGACTAAGCTGTGCTCAGGGCAGCGAGTAGAGGGGACCCAGAACACCTGGCAGAGCAGTCAGGAACGGTGGTGGGGAAATGGGGGTAGTGTCCCACTCCCATACCTCCCCTACTCCCGGTGAGGGTTGCCTCGGTTTTTTCCCTCCCACCCCTGGGTCCCGGGGTGGTGCGGTTCCCTTTCTGTTTGCCTCCCTCTTCGGCCGAATGAAGCAGTCAGGGCTCGGCAGTGCTTAGCACGCTCGGACTATGGTTTTAATAGACGTACATGGACAAGTCGATATAGACAGATTTATAATTCTATACAGTCAGTCCGACATACACAGGGACGCTGTAAACAGGGGCGCGGGCCGGAGAGCGGGTGTGCAAAGTGGGCGCAGGGCCCTGGGGCCGCGCCCCGCGCTCTTCCGGCTCGACTCTTGCACGGCGGGCGGTAAGGAGGGGGGTTGTTCTCCGGGACAGGGGGCCACCTCCTGGACCGGGAACGGAGCAGAGGGCCTGATCCTGCGACTAAGCTGGGGCAGGGGTGCTCTGAGACGAGCCACCCCAACCCCTGTCTTGTCCGCACGGCCAGCTGTGGCTCCTTGGCCTTAATAAAGGGCTCCGGAGCGCGGGCAGGCGAGGGCTTGGGGGGCGCAACCGGGCTAGTGCGAATCCACGGTGAGTGCCGGATCCCGGGCTGGGTACCGTTCCCAACCCAACGCTCCCTCCAACTCGGATTCGGCTTGAGTTAAATTACGCTCGGCCGGACCCAGCTAGGAGTGGGCATTTTGGTTCGCACCGGGCCTGAGGATCCCCGGCCTGTCCGGGCTCCGCACAATCAGTTTGCAGGCGCAGCTGCTCAGGCGGGGATGCGGGCTATGAGGGCGTCCTCTGCTGCGGCCGGCCCTCGGATCTCACTGGCGCCGCGTCCCCTCCGCGGAGTGGGCCGCTGGGGCCCGTGGGAACCAACACACACCACCGGCGCCATCCCGAGGGAAATTGCAACTCATCCATTTTTCTTTTTTTTTTTTTTTTTTTCCGCGGCACTTTTCTCCGATGTCTTTTGTTTTTGTTTTGTTTTGTAGAGGGCGGAGTGGGGTCCGGAAAAGCAAACACAAAACCAAACCTGGAGGTGGGGAGATGGGGACAAGGGGGCTGCGCAGGCGCGAGGTCTGCGGCGCGGCGAGTTGTGGGCCCGCGTGCGCCCTCCGTGCCTGCCCCCGCGCCTCGCCTGTCGGCCGCCGGCCCGCGTGGCCAGGCTGGGCGGTCAGCTGTTGTACTGGCACGCATTGAGGCCCGAGGCCGGGCCCTGCAGGCCGCCGTAGCCGAAAGATGAGTGCTGCTTAGACTTGAGCCTCAGGCTGGCTAAGCTCGAGTTGCACGTGTCCCGATAGACGCTGTAGGGCGAGGCGGGTGTGCCGTACGGGCAGGCGCCCGGTGACATGGCCGAGTTAAGCGAGGAGCCGGTGAGGTTGTTGATGTTGTTGAGACCCGAATTGGGCATGCCGGGCACGGCGCCCGGGCCCATGCTGGACGGCATGGTCATGGAGGAGATGGAGCTGGGTGCCGAGAACATGGACTGAGACGACAGCGGGCTCATGGAGTTGAAGAAGGTGAAGCTCTTGGTGGACAGCGGCGCTGGCGCTAGGCTCTTGGCGGCCCAGTTGTTGTAGGAGTAGCCGGCGGCGTACACGTCCTCGTAGGGCTGCACTAAGCCGCTGAATTGCGGCACGTAGCCGCCCTTGCACAGGTCCAGCTGCTGGTTACGCTCGCGCTTCCGCCACTTGGCCCGCCGGTTCTTGAACCAGACCTGGAGAAGGGGGCCGGAGAAGGGTCAGGGCTGTCGAGGGCAGGAAAGCCCCATACCCCTACCCCTGCCACCCGAAGCTGTCCGCCCGTTTCTTTCCGAATATGGAATATCGTTTCTTTTCGCCCTCTCCGTAATGGCTCCTTTCCTGTCCCCAGAAAATACTATTTTTTTTTTTTTTTTTACCTTTTCTGATCTTAATCCTCTTCCCCAATTGAAACTCTTCAAATACACTCTGTGAACAAACATTCGTTTCCATCCTTTCAACCGGTCCACCTTTTGCATTCTTCCCCAAACGGGTCCCTATCTAAATATTTCCATCTTTTCCTTCTCCCTCAAATACAAAAGGTATTTTTCTTCCCTGAGACATGACTCGCCATCTTCAATTTTTTGGTCTGTTTTCGTCACTCAAATAGTCTGTTTTCATCTTTATTTGCAATATTTGAATTTTCATTTCTGTCCCCAATTTTATTTTTGTTCAGGTCACCCCATTATCTGAACCTCTTTCCTCTCCCTCAGTCTGTTTTCTTCTTCATCACCCATTTTTTTTTTTTTACTTTTGATTCTTCTCCAAATATTTAGTTTTTTTCCTCTTTCCAAATATCTGACCTTCACTATTTCTTCTAAATAGATGATTCTTTCTTTTCCTAAATACTTGATCCTTTTGCTTCTCCCTTAAATATTTAATTCCTTTCCTGCTGCCTAAATATATGCCAAATATGTTTCTCCACAAATATTTAATTTCCTTTAGCTTACTAGTTTCTCTCTAATCTCCCCCTCCACTTTATCCTGCAAAATTTGGTAAGGACCTTATTTCCCAACTCTCAGGTCCTTCAGGAGCTTCACTTATTCGACTGCCCAATGAATATACCCTGTCCTTCTTGACTCTTTTTCAGTCCCTGGGCTGAGTTTCTAGAGATCCCTGGCTGGGGGACCCTGCATCTCAGCTTTCCCCAGGTTCCAGAATCAACACTACCTGATTCTATTCCAGTCCTCACCACCAGAAACTTGGGCAGGATTAGTAAATTCAGGATTACTGGGTGCTGTGTCTTCACCCAGAGTCCCGCTGGCCTAGCCAGCCTGACTGGGGAGGGGTGAGGATTGGGGTTTATAGCAGGGACTCAGTGTGTTGGGTGGGACTTTGGCCTGGCTTGGGAGGTAGGTGTTCCCAATATCTTTAAATATTTGCCCACTGGGGTAAGAAATGATACTCTTGCTGCTCTGGCCAGAAAACCTTGAGTTTACTGGGAACCAAACAGTGAGACATGGAAGCATCGAGTCAGGTTTGGGTCCAAGACCTTACATCCCTAAAAGGACTGGGAGGGCCATGCCATCCGCATCTGACCCCAGACCCACAATAGGAATGGGCATTAAGTCAAGGGTCCAGCTACGGGCCTGGTAAATGGCCAGGGAAGGTGGAGACTATCCTGAGATTTTGGAGAAACTAAGTGTGGGATGAGACTACTATTCCAAGAAGTTTTGAATCCCAAACTCAGGCACCTTTCAGGCCTCTTGGAGGCAGCCAGGCAGGACTTGCCTTTCCCTTTCGGTTTCAGAGGAAGGCCCCTGCAGCTCCTGATATCCCAGCCTTAGGGAATCCTCTGCTTAATCTCTGGCCCTGGATATCCCTTAACACTGAACTGAATCCTAGGCCCTCAGTGTGGAATAGTCTCTCCTCTTGGGGCCACAGGTCTTTGGGCTGGGGCTTCCTAGAGCCGGAGGGTCAGATAAAGAGTTGGAAAGCAGCGGCAGCAGTCAGAGCAGCTAGTGGCCTAGGAGCCTAGCAGTTGCCAGTAACTAGGGCCCGAGGTTGGGGGGGAGGTCATAGGTGGAAGAGCAGGGAGCAGGACTGAGTGAAAGTGTGAGTGCAGGTCTAAGGCTCTGGCTGAGGCAGGCAGGAGCCCTCTGAACCAGTACCCTTAAACATGGGCGCTGCGCTCACCCGCACGCGCGGCTCGGTGAGGTTGGTCCACACGGCGATCTCCTCCCTCATGCTCATGTCGGGGTAGCGGTTTCTCTGGAACGTGGCCTCCAGCTCTTGCAACTGCTGACTTGTGAAGTGCGTACGTTGCCGCCTCTGCTTCTTCTTTTTGGCTGGGTCCTCCGCGCCGCCGCAGCCCGTGCCGCCTGCGCCACTGTCCTCCGGCCCCTTAGGTTCCCCGCCGCGCTCCTTCTCTGCAGCAGGCAGGAACGGGCGCGGGTCACCTCGGGCTTAAGCCTGTTGCGCCCTGTCCCGGTTCCACCGAAGAGCCGGCTGTCAGACCTCCCTCCCGCCAGGGGCCCGGGGAATTGTCCCCGTTGGCAAGAGCCTTCCGGGAGCTGGTCTGCACCTCTGGTCTGGCGTGCCGAGAACTACCCAGGAGCCAGAGCTGTGGGCCTGGGTTCCTGGCTGGCAGGGCCTGCTCCTGCAGCTCGGCTCAGGCTGGGCCCTGCTGCAGCTGTCACCGGCAAATACACGCTGTTTTTGCCGGGTGCTTGGGGGTCTAAATCTGAGGGAGTCTCTGCTTTTCTGAACTAGGACCAAATCTTCCAGACTGAAACTAGCGTATTGGTGGGGCATGAACCAGGTGGTGGCCTAAAACCCCTCCATTTTTTTCCTCCCCAAGGCTGAGTGGAGTTCCAATACACTCGGCCTTACTTGTAGGCCTGCGGTCCCAAGGCCTGAAAAACCCCTGTATCTAGGTGACCTCAGGCTTTAGTCTCTTTCTTTAGATCTACATAAAACACATGCAATCACAGAAAAGTTGAAACGTAAAGAAAAAGAATTTAAAAACAAAACACAGAAGTTCAGAAAAGCTTATAGCTCTCTGCCTAAAACCACAGAAAGGGTCATCAAAAAATCTCAAAAATAGGCAGGTAGAAACACACAGCAAGGGTAAATTAAGAATCAGAAAGCATTGTCCAAACACACCTCTAACTAAATACAAAGCTGTATGTGTATAGATTCATACATTTATTTCTCTGGCATTTAAAAAATCCATGCATTATTGTAGTTAAATTTTGAACCCCTTCTCATAAACATCCTCGTAGACATAAATTTTAAATCCCAGAGAAACACATTATAGTTAGATAATTTAAATTCCCCAAATAACATACTGCATATGCATTTAGAGAAAATCTCGGAGAAATGCGCCATTTTGGTTTGGCTTTTTAAAACCTCTCCAAGAATAATGTTGCATGTAGATATTTTAAATTCCAGAGAGACAACGAGTATATTAAAATTTTCAAAATAAAAATTGTTGAAATTGTTAATTCATCTTCATAGATTTGCTTTTTAAATATCAATCTATAGTTCTATGAATTTTAAAATAAAAAGCAACCAAACACCGCGCTTTAAACTTTCGAAAACAAAAGTACAGTACAGCGTTGTTTTTTAACCAACCAAACAGAACCGCTCAGGGAAAGTTACTTAGAGATGCAAAACAGAAACAAATAGAGATTTAAAACGCGAAGAGAAACACTTAGCGGTGGATTAAGAAATGAAGGCAGAAGAGTCACCCACAGCCTGGGGAGTGGGGAGCCGGGAGCACAGCGGCGACGCGGAGTTAGATTCACGAGCGCGGGAGTAGCTCCGAGAGCCCGGCGGCCGGGACTGGCCCGGGGATTTGCTGCGTGCCACCCACTCGCGGTCAGATCGCGTCTGGGGGAAAAGCTCAAGCTCTCGGACAAATGGACAGCCCAGTGGGATAAATGCCCGAGCTGAGAAGGGAGCCTGGCTGGACTGCCTGGTGGCTCCGAGCTCTGGCCGCGCATGTGGGCCAGGATCCCTCTATTCGGGTCTGGTCGACCCTGCCGGGGGTCTGGCCGCGCCCCTTGGCCGGCTGGTCTTCTCAGTCCTCTGTCTCTTCCTTTTACTTGATGTTGCCTCCTCCTCTCAGTTTGTTCGGTTCGCCCGCCCCTTCTCTTGGGTTGTCCCACTCATCTGCATCACCCTGCCTGTCAGGGTGTCTGCCCCTCTCTCGGTCTCTATGGGCAATTTCTCTCGCCCGTCAGTCCCATTCCCTTCGATCTGCTTCTCTTCCTTCGTCCCAGCGACATTTCAGCGCCCACTTGCGCAAACCCAACTTTTTCTCTCCCTGTTCTATTTGCCTATGATCAACAGGGGTTGTCACTCCAACCTCCTAGTTATAGGCTCGTGCATCTGCCCATCTCTTGGCGCGTGGGAACCGCGTGGAAATGCCTTCGTGTGTGTGTGTGTGTGTGTGTGTGTGTAAATTTACACCTTCACCGTCAGGTCAAGACTAGGAAAAAGAAAGCTCCTGACCCTCCTGGGGCGGAGAGGGAATCTGGCTGCGCCGCGCGGGAGCCAGGCCTTGCTCCCCGCGCAGGGGTAGGTTCCGTGCGCGCGGCGCGGGGAACCGCGCTTACCTGGCAGCTCTGTGTCAGACGACTCGCTGGCTGAGTTCTCGAGCGGCTCGCGGGGGTCGGCGGCGCGGGCCAGGTGGAAGGCGGGCCCCATGTCATGCGGCGGCGGCGGCGGCGGCCGGAGCCCCTCCGGCAGCCGTTCCAGGCTCATGCCCCCCTTGAAGGCGTCCATGGAGGTGGGGACCGCGGCGGGCGCTCCAGGAGCCGGGGCTGGGCGCGCCCGGCTGCCCTGGCTGCGACCTGCGAGGATAAGAGCGCGGCGCCTAAGCGGTTGCCCCCCAGGGCTGCCCGCGCAGGCAGCGACGCCGCGCCCGCTCCATGGACTGCCCGGGACTGCGGGGCCGGGCGGGCAGCGGCGGATTTTCGCGACCGAGCGCCTAACTCTGCGCTCCGCACTCTGCTCCGGCCGCTCGGGCCTCAGCCGCCCGCCCGGCCCCGGCTCCGGCTCCCGATCCGGGGCCGGTTTCTAAGGCTCGGGACCTCGCCGGCAGAGTCAGTCTTAAAGCGACAGTGCGCACCGCCAGGTTCCAGCAGTCCCTGCGCCAGGGGTGGTGGGTGGGGTGGGCCTGGGTGGGAGGGGGCTGGGGAGGGAGGGAGCAGGCGAACAAGCTAGCGAGGGAGCGCGGGCGGAATCCAGCCCTGAGCCGCCCGCGCCGCCGCGCCCTCTCTGCCGCCCTCCCTCCCTCCCTGCCTCGCCCGCGCCCTCCCCCTCCGCAGCCACCTTCCCGCCGCCTCCCCGCCCCCCGCGGCCTCGCCGCGCCTCTCCCTCCTTCCCCGGTGACACACCGAGTTCTCCCTCGGCCTTACAAAAGAAACGCATCTGGTCTGCAAGTCCCGCGCGGCTCGTGCCCACCTCAGGCCCCAAATGACTTGTTTTGCTCAGAGCCAACTCCTGTCTGGGCCGCCTCGAAGTCCCCGACCGCTGGCGGGAACTGCCCAGGATGAGTGAATGTTCGAGGAGCAGGATCGCGCAGAGCGGGCGCCTTGGAGCCAGCGCCAGGGCGGGGGCAGAGCCCGGGGCCCGTTCCGGCAGCTCCCTGCGGTGTCCTCGTCGAGGGGCCGCCGGCCCCTCCTTCCCCGGCCTCTACTCCAGGGAACTCTGCCCGGCTGAGTGACAGCCGCTTGCGCTCTAATGGGCCCCCGGATGCTGCCTCCTAATTAGCTTGGACCCTCTCCCCTAAGGCTGCTTCTCAGGCCTCCCTCTCTGCACCGCAGTCAATTTTCCGGGATTGGGATAGAAATGATGGCTTCTAATCAGACGAAACGTTTCTGTTGGCTCTAGGCCGCTGGCGAGTGCAGCGGGAGACCCCAAGAGCCCAGCCAGGCTCCATTGCCTTTTCTACCTCTCCCCTTATTTTGCACCTTCAACGGCCAAGCCCTGGCCTTGGCAGCCAGGGGGTTGGCCTTGGCAGCCTCTGCCATCCTTCAGGGTAGCTTTGCCCTGGCGCTTGGGGCCTGTGCTTTGGCTTCCCAGGACTTCAGGCACAGGCCTGGTAGACCAGGTGACTGCTGTCTTCCAAAGCTGGGAGGGCACGCAGGACTTCTGTCTTCTAGATTCTCTCCCACACAGTGGTAGCCAAACTGTGGCTCCAGGGGGCCCTTGCTGACACAGGCAAAGACACTCCCCTCACAGCTCCCAAGGGTGACCCCCTCCTTTAGTCCTCCCACTTAAATGAAGTTTGTTGAAGGATTTTGCTCAACAATTGTTAACTGGCCCTGAGACCTCAGCATCTTGAGCAAACAGGCTGCAGCTGGGACAGCAGGGCATGGCCCTGACCTGCTTCTCTGGCCACAGCCAGACCCCAGGATACTTCTGCCCCTCACCTGCCCACCGGTTCCATTAGACTCAGCAACTGGAGAGGACAGTGTGCTAGAGAGGAGAGCCACCTGGGAGAGAAGCAATTCTCTACTCTCCAGGCCCAGCACCCTCATCCCAGAACCCAGAACATCCTGACCTCCTTGGGTTTCTTATTGGACTGACTGTCCAGATGTCAGCATCAGGGTTCTCCACAGGCTCTACCTTTGAGCCTTCACCCTTCCCCCATCAGAGGGAGGCACCCAGACTGAGTTCCTTGGTGAAGATTGTGGGGGCAAGGACAGGTTCTCAGGGTAGAGTCAGGCCTGCCTCCCACTCCCTTAACCTCAGCCCAAGATCCCTTCCTTAGGGCCTGGCCCATTCTCATTGGGTGTCTGACACAGGGAGCAGAGTCTGAGGCTGGGTAGAGAGGGAGGATACTTTCCAGGAGGAGGGGGAGACCTATTGGCTCTGGCCTTCTTCTTATAAGACCCCCAGGATGAAATTAGACTTGGTCAGAGGGAGAAGGACATGAGAAGGATAACTGCAGAGCAGTCGTCCTCAGCTCTGTCTTATAAGACATTTCTTGTTTGAGTCTCCTGCAACTGTGCAGGAGACATATAGGTGCTGCAGCATGCTAGAGAGTGCCCCTTTACACACACTCCTCCATGTGTCTGCCTTACCCTGTAGGGCAACCTGGATGAACACAGGCATGGGAGCATGCACATGTACGTCCCTACTTCACTTCCACGTAGGGTATGCTGTGTACACATGGATGCACACACTATGTGCTCTTTGGCATGGCTGGCTGCTCTCCGATAGGTATATTCTAAGCCCACAGAATGGGCCTAGGTAGGAAGCACAGTGAATCTCTGGGTAGGGACATAGAAATGAATGGTCTGTCTATGGGGACTATGAGGCCCTCTATGGGTGTGGACTATTTTGTGACTCTGCAACTACAACTGTTCAGTCTGAGGATGTGCAACCTTCACTACTGATGCCTTTAATGAAGTTATTGAGCACCAGCGGCATGCCCTTCCGGACCCAGGCCCTTGGAAGTGCTCCAGGCAGGCACTAAAATCCCTTTATTTGAAGATTTTGATGCCCCCTGTGTGGATGGAAATGCTCTCAGACCCTTTTGGGTGATGCCTAAATCTAAATGCATAGCTGACCCTTAGCCCCAAAGAGAAGCTGAGGATCTGCCAGGGTGTGCAGCATTCAAGGAGGGGAAGGGACTGGTTGAGAGAAAGCTGTGGCCTGTCTGGGCATTAGCTAAAGAAGGGACTGAGACAAGCTTTCGTTTTTCCCCCAGCTACAGTCTCCCACTACTCACTGTCCTACTCTGTGTAGGGGCTTCTGGCACATTCACAGACCACCTCCCCGCCCCCCCACCCAAGGAGGCAACAATCTTTTGGAAATGAGGATCCATGCCTCCCCTCCCACCCACCCCTTTGCTCTGACTTTAGGCATGGCTTGCTGCACCGTGCCTTATGAGACTCTGCTCACTTCTTCAGCCTCCAGCTCACTTGATCATGGGATGGACATGAGGAGAGGAGCTGGGACCATGTGCCCTATTCCCCATTTCTCTTTAGCTACATAAAACTCAGTGATTCTGTGATTTTAAAAAAAATGTGGGGATTAGGGTCCTGGATGGGTTGAGCAAAGGAGTCTGGGCTGTTGTAGGAATTTGAAGTAGTCACCATGGGGACCCTTTCTAAAGCTAGACTGACTCAAAACAGATTCTGGGCACTAGAATTGTTTAACAACTTAATTTGGGAAGGTTGGTTGGAGGACCCTCATGGGGGATATCCTCCCACCCGCTCACAGGGGTACCTTGCTGTAATCCTTGCTCACAGAATCAAGAGATTTTAGGAAAAAGGAAAGAATGTGCCATGGCTTGCCCCCAGGGCCATCCCTGACTCTCTGGGACATTCCAGTCCTAAGCCTCTTAGGCTTCCGAGGAGAAGTTCAAACTAGAAAACCCAGTTTTGGAGTGCAGTGGGGACCACCTACCTCCTTTGGCCTGATCTAATACCACCGTCCCAATAAAAGCTTTTTTTTTTTTTAAACACAAGCAATTTCTGGGTAAGAGGAATGGGGAGTACTCTGGTAGAGTCCAGAACACTTCCTTGGGATTCTTTAGGCTTCTTAGGACCAGTTCTGAAGCTTCCTGTCAAATGGGGTTCCCCAGCTGTTCTGGGTGAGAGCTGGGATGTATTTGGTAGGATGGCTGCCAGAAGGGCACAACGAAATGAAGGAAATAGAGGAACTTTCCCTGTTGGTAGTGCCCATGGCTCTCCTGTCCACGGAATGTTGTCTAGTTGTAGAGAATGGCTGAGCTGAGGGGAAGGGAAGGCTTTGAAAGTGGCAGTGGCTAGTCACATAACCGGGGAGCAAAGAGCCAGATTTTGCTGTCTCACAGCCTTCTCTTCCCAGCAGCTGCTTCCTGGGAAAAGGGCACTCTGAGCCTCTCCTGGAGCTCTCCCCTCCGTATCCTAGAGTCTGGGCAGCCTGGTCTCTAAGCCTGAGTGAGCCCCTTCACTTTTTCCTTGGCAGGAAAGCAACCTGGAGAAAGGGCAGGGGCAACCTAGTCCTCTCCCATGCTCTCCCGGCTGCTTGTAGCTTTGGCCCTTACCCTAGACCTGGGAGTAACTCTAGACCTGCATCCTCCACGAAGTGGACAGCAACCTGGAGTTTCCTCCCTCTGGCCCTGGTGACTCTGAGGTCACTGAGATGCCAAGAGAATATCCAATTCTTACTTTCTCTGAAAAGTGGGCTCAAGTATCTTTTAGATTCAGGGAATTCCTGAGGTAGGAAAATCTTGGAACCCGAATTTCAGCCCATTTCTGCAATCTGGGCCTTGGGGTCCTGGCCTTGCCACAACATAATCATCTCCAAATTTGAGACTAGCTAATTTCAAAAATTGGAGACCCGGTTCTAGAGAAGCGACTGGGTGCTCAGGTACCCTTACACCAACCAAACCCGGGAGATAGCCACGGAAACATCTTTATTGGACTTTGCGAAGAGCGCTTGGGTTTTCTCTCAGCGGAAGGAAAAAGCTTAGCTTGTGCCAGCGAGGGCAAGCCGCAATAGGTTGGGGGCACCTCGGAATGAGGCGGCCGGACATTGAGGTCCCGGGCGAAGAGAGCTGGGGCTCTGGCCGATGTCTGCTGCTTTTTTGCGGCATTGCTGGCCAAACGAACGAACGAACGAATGAAGCGGTTTCGTTTAGAAAAAATACCCTCTTGACGCGAAGCTACGGCCAAAGTCCCGGGCCGTCCAGAGGGGCCAACGTTTCCACTGGTGGTGGGGCCCCCATCTCTGGGCGCGACCGGTAGCCGCGGGCGGCCCTCTCGCCTGCCGCTTTCTTCCGGAAGCCCCCAGCGTCCCGCGCTGCCGCGAGGGGCTGCGAAGAACTTCCAGGGCTGT